GGGGATTGAACCGTGGTCCCTGTGCTTTGCTTTGCTTAGCTTGTTATAAATAGGTGCTTTAGACCACTGAGCCATCTCACCAGCCCCCCTATTTATTTCTTGATACCTTGCATTTTGTAGCTTTTGTTAAGTGCTTCTAACCTTTCTACTATCACTCAAAAGTGATAGGGGAAAAAAAGTTTAACTATCCTTAACAATTTTCTAACTTCCCGGGCCAAACGCCTCCAAATAATTTCTGGCCATTGCTGTACCCGTAGGTCCAATTGAGCGAAAACTTTCGCAAGGAGCGCTAAAGACGTCTCGACGCCGCGCGAGGCGGAACCGCTACGTGCTGACGTTAGCGGCACGCAGCTCCTCAGGGGCGGGCGAGGGCGAGGGCGGGGCCGGCGGGGGGACCTGCTGCTGGGAGAGCAGCGGCCCGAGCCGGGGCCATGGCGAAGCTGCTGAGCTGCGTCCTAGGGCCCCGGCTCTACAAAATCTACCGGGAGAGGGACTCAGAAAGGGCCCCGTCCAGCGTCCCCGAGACTCCAACTCCAGTCAGTAACCCCCCTTCCAGCTCCTGGGTGAGTCGAGTTCCCCCCTGGCCAAGAACTTGGTACGGCCCAAACCTTTCCCGGCCTGCGCTCTCCAGAAGCGCCCATTATTGGAAAGCAGGGGTGCGTGCTTGTCAAGCTAGTTGTCCAAAAAGTCTGCGCCGTTTGTGCTCCCCGGGTTCAAGCCACGCCTGTAATCCGGCCGCCGCCTCTCCTTAGCCCTGTTCGAACACCGCTTTTCCATTCCGACTACCAGCCCTTGCTGTTCCTCCGGCCCCCAAGCCGTCTGTCGTGGTTCGTGCCGGTTCCAGTGGAGTCCTACGCCGTGCGAGACCCTGCTCCGCCGGCCGCAGAGCAGGCGGGTCCCGCCGCCACGACTCGTAGCTTCTTCCCGGCCTTCCCTGGCCCTGCTTAACTTCCCTTTAGCTAGCCTTGAATTTCAAAATGACTTCTCCCTAGCTCGTGCGTCTTTCCTTTATCCCCCCAACCTCGCCCGAGGGAAGGACCTTTCGTGGCCCGGCTGCTGGTGGTAGGTTGTCCCTAGCTGTTCCCTCCCTTTGCATTGGTGATCTCAAATTCTGTTTCCCAGTCGAAGCACCCGCCCCTGACCCCATTCTCTGTCTTAACCTGTTCTTACTTCTGTAGCTCTTCTGCCTTGGAAGTGTCATGGAGGCAGTCACCTGTCACCCCGCTCCCCTTCTGTACCTGCTCACAGTGAAGGAGCAAAAGTCGCCTTCACTTTTGCTTCAAAGTCCAGAGCCTTGTGTTTGTTTTCCTGGGCAGGGGTGGGAAGTCAGGCTCCGGGCTGGGGTAAGGAAGATGGATTCAAGAAGCTTAGCCACAAAGGACCCATATCAGCGCTCCCCGGGGCTGGAGGGACCTGTCATCCGGTAGGGTCCTTGACGGGGCCATCTCTTTCTACAGGATACGTATTACCAGCCCCGTGCCCTGGAGAAGCATGCAGACAGCATCCTGGCGCTGGTATGTCTGCCCTGGCACTTGCGTCTCTCTGCATCTTTTCAGCCCAGCCACCCTCCTGAGTGGGGGACAAGACGTTGCCCCTGGGGGTGGGGATGCTCAGGGCTCTGCACAGGCCTGTCTAGCACAACGCACACTAACGCACTCCCCGGGGCGCATGCTGGTGCTCCCCTTTGGTATGTGGCTTTCCCTGGGGCAGCCTGAGCCCTGAGGAAAACATGTTTACCCTGGGGGCCATCTGCAGGTGCTCAGCCCTGCAGTCCCCAGTGACCTGTCCTCCCTGGCAACTAACCTCTTTGGCTGCAGAGAAAGCTGTTCTCTCTGGCAGGGTTCCTAGGGTGACGTTTGCGCATCTCTTGGGGACCAGGGCAGGGGCTGTGCTGAGCAGGGTCGATTGAAAAGGTTTGCTGAATTTGAGTAGGTGGAGAAACTAGCCCTGAAATGTGATGAAATAATGCTTGGAGGCAATTAGAGGAGGACGGCAGAACCTGTGCCTAGTTTTCTCAACCTCCATTACACTCTGACACAACACAAATGTTGAACAAATGCGAGGTCCCACTGTGTGCATGAAGGCATGCGCAGGATAGGTGCTTGATGTGCTGTGCCTGGGGTTACTCACCTTGCTCGGAGCCTAGGCCTGGGGAGGGCAGGCCTGTGCCTGTGTGCATGCATGTGTCTGTCTGTGCACCTCCGTGTGTGTGCACTCATCGCCTGTCCCTGTCTCTCTGCTGCAGGCTTCAGTCTTCTGGTCCATCTCTTACTACTCCTCTCCCTTCGCCTTCTTCTACTTGTACAGGAAAGGTCAGTGTGGCTTGGGCGGAGGTGGGGCAGGGGGTGGGCCGGTCGTTTGCAGATGGCCGGACCTCTGAAGGGAAGGCGCAGCCTGTGAGGCCGGCTTGGCTTCCTCTTCCCTCTGAGGACATTGCTGTGCCCAGGAGAAGCAGGGGCTGAACTGGGAGGAAGAGCTGAGTAGGTCGCAGAGAGCCGCTCACATTGTCCCGTCTCCCTTAGGTTACTTGAGTCTGTCCAAAGTGGTGCCATTTTCTCACTATGCGGGAACGCTGCTGCTGCTGCTGGCCGGCATCGCCTGCCTCCGAGGTAGGTGAAGAGTGGCCCGTTTGCACCCCCCCATCTCTGGGTACGTGTTCAGGACTTTGTGCAAATGTAGTTCGAGGCTGGGCCATAAGGGGGAGTAATGAAGAATGGTTTAAGGCGTGATGGTTCCTCATGCGCCATAGATCATAAATATGAAAAGGTACCTAACAGAAACATTTGCTGTTTTCTTTTCAAAGTTTTCTTTTGCTAGTGCATGTTTGCAATGCATATGATTCTGTTCACTGTGGGAAATTGGGCGCTTGCTGTTTACTAGAAAAGATGATTATACCGTGCGCTACACGCACACATATGTGCACACACGCATTCACACACACACACACACACACACACACACACACACACACACACCCCAGGAATTTCTGTACATATGTAAACGATATATATTACAAGACTATTCCGGACCATGTTATTTGTAATAATCCTAAACCAAAGATACTTAATAAGGGGGCCGGGGAGATAGCTCAATGGAATAAGCACTTGCCTGGTGAGCACAAGGGCCTGCGTTCAATCCCCAGTTCCACCAAAAAAAAAACCAAAAACAAACAAAAAGCACCACTCTTTTTTTTTTTTTTTTTTGGCAGAACCAGGGATTGAACTCAGGCCCTTGTGCTTGCCAGGGAAGCGCTTATTCCACTGAGCCATCTCCCCGGCCCCACACCACTCTTAATAGCTAAAACAGAACACTACACAGCAGCGCGCATCAGCTAACTGTAGCTGCACCTAATGCAGAAGAGCCCCGCGAGGCTCTGGTACTCCGAGGACACCGAGCACAGCTGAGGCGAGCGACGTGGGGAGGAGGTGCGGGCTAAGCCCGGAGGAGAACAAGGGCATGGCGCCTGGAAAGCTGGCAGTGACTGCGTAGGTGGCGGGCGAGTTCGGGGAGGATCCTGGGTGGGAGCTGGCTTTGTTCTCTTTCTGGACCTGGAGCATAGTCTCATAAATGTTTGCTTTGCCTTCTTCTTCCCCCCGCTGTGGTACTGAGATCGAACCCAGGGCTTTTTACTGAGCTATATCCCTAGCCCTTTCTGTTTATTTTAAGACAAGTTCTTGTGAAGTCACTGAGTAGCCCATGCTAGGCTGCAAATTGTGATCCTACTGCCTCAGCCTTCCCGCGTACTGGCATAACGGGTGTGCCACCACTTCCAGCTCGCTTTGCATTTTTAAAACATAATGTGTTTTATGTTCTTTTTAAATTTTTTAAATTTAGTACAGGGTCTCACCACACAGATCAGACGTGTAGTGATCCTCCTGTTTTCACCCTTCCCAGTGCTGGGATTATAGGCGTGAGCCACCAGGCCCAGACTCTGTCACTGGCTCAGTGCGCCCTGGGGGCAGGGCCAGTGCAGCATGTGAGACCGGGCATCGAACCCTGGTCCCTGTGCTTGCCAAAACAGGTGCTTAGTCTGCTGAGCTATCTCACTGGCCCTGTGTTTTATATTCTTATGGTCTGTTTCACAATTTTTTAAAAAAGGAAGTTAGGCTGCTATGGTGGGCCACATAATCCCAGCAGTGGGGAGGCCGAGGCAGGAGATCACCTTGAGTCTGAGGCCAGCTGGGGCCATATAGTGAGTTAAAGCCTGGCTTCAATTACCGAGCGAGATCTTGTCTCAAAAGGCAAACAAAAGGCCAGGGAGATAGCTCAGTAGAATAAGCACTTGCCAAGGTCCTGAGTTCAATACCCAATACTGAAAAACAAAAAAATAAATTAAAGGGCTGATGAGATGGCTCAGTGGTCTAAAGCACCTACTTAGAACAAGTTCAGCAAAGCACAGGGACCGCGGTTCAATCCCCCAGCACCACATGCCAGCCCACCTCACCCTCTGGTGGGCTGAGCTGGACACACACACACACACACACATACACACACACACACACACGAATAAATTAAAAAAAAAAGGCAAACAAAACAATTGAAAGAACTACAATGCTTGTGTTTTCTGGTACCACTTCAAGTAATTTGTCTATAAAATTACTAAAACATTGCATTTGAGTTGACAACACCATTGGAATTCCCCCAGGCCACCTTCTTCTTTTCACCAGAAATAACTGTTGTCATGTGGGGAGGTTTTATTCTGGTGCGTATTTCTTGCCAGGCCTGTAGTCCCAGGATTTGGGAGGCTGAGACAGGAAGAGTTCGTTGAGTCCAGGTCCAGCCTAGGCGATTTAACACGGCTGGGGAAGTAGCTCAGTGTGAAGCCCCTGGGTTCCGTCCCTGGTAACACACACACACACACGCACACACACATGCGCGCTGTATGTGATACGGTAACATGGTAAGACTCTATGAACGGTAGTGTTAGGTGTGCGTTTTGCCTGCTTGGCGTGTGTGGCGTTGCTCGTGTGGTCATCCTGCGGCATGTTGCGGGCTCGTCGTCATACCATTGGAAGTGCTGCCCCTGAGGGTGTAGGGAGCGCTCGCTTGTTCTGGCTTGATGGTCTCTGCTGCACTTCCTTTGTCCACGGTTGCCTTTCTTTCCTCAGTCCCTCTCACCACTGCAGGAATGCCAGCTCCCCAGGCAGGGCTGTGTGCCTCATTTCCTGCCTGTCTCCCGTGGGCAGGATGGGCCTGGCACACACCTGCCAGGTCAGGGATGAAGGAGGGCAGAGGCAGGGTCCTCTGCAAGGAAGGAGGGTGGATGCGGCCCCCGAGGGAGCAGTGCAGAGAGTGGGTGGGAGAAAGGCAGGAGCGGGAGAGTGTAGGAATTGGATGATGGCAAAAATGGGCCCAGGGCTGGGCGTGGTGGCACACACCTGTCATCCCAGTACTCAGGAGGCTGAGGCAGAAAGATCACTGAGAGTATGATCAGCCTGGGCTATATAGTGAGTTCAAGGCCAGCCTGCACTACATAGCAAGACATTGTCTCAAGAAGCAAACAAGACAGGGGCCAGGGAGATAGCTCAGGAGACTAAGTGCTTTCCTGCTAAGCACAGGGTCCTGAGTTCAATCCTCGGTACCGCAAAAAAAAAAAAAAAGCAAACAGACAAATAAACAGCAACAAAAAGAATAGGCCCAAGAAATAGAGGAGGACAGACTGTTGAGGAATAGGAACTATGCCGAGTGGCGATTTCGAAAGGGAGGAGGAGGGAGGAAGGAAGGGTGCTTGGCCGCAGTGGAAAGACAAGAGGTTGGGGATGGAGGCTGCGGAGCCAGGTGGTGGGGTTAGAGCACCCAGAGAGCAGGCAAGACAGACGCCTGGCGGGAAGACACGGGAGCCCACGTCAGCAGGCTGTGCGATAGTGTGTTCACACGGCGACGGACCGAACGGTCTATGAGGTGGGAGCTTGTGCGTCTAGCAGGGAAGAAACTGAGGAACATCCTGGAGCCAGTCGTCAGAGGCGGAGGAAGAGACCTGCTTTCCCGTACACAGGCCCTGCTCTCTCGTCGCTCCCTCCAGAGCGTTCTGCCCACCTCGTCCGCGCCCTAGAACGCCTGGCTGCCCAGCGTCCCCCATGCTGCTTCCTGTGCTTTCTCCACCAGGCATCGGCCGCTGGACCAACCCCCAGTACCGGCAGTTCATCAGCATCTTGGAAGCGACCCATCGGAACCACTCTGCAGAAAACAAGGTGAGAAGTTCCAGGAGAGGCTCCAGGCACCCTACACCCCGGTTCTGGCTCGGCCTCCGCAGGAGCAGGCGTGGCAGGTGGCGCTCCTTGTCCCCACCACTCCGGGTCTTGGTCTGCGCCCTTCCGCCGATGGCCTGCCCTCCCTCCCGCCTTTCCTCCTCCCAGGTCCAGCCGCAGGCATTGCCTGACTGTGGGTTTGGTTAGAGGAGAGGCATCTTCCATCACAACTCAGCTCTGTTTATCTTTGCTGTGCACCTCACACCTCGCTAGCTGCGTTTGGGATGGGACAAGGTGAACAGGTGTGATCGCTCCTGTGGTGGGGAGCGCAGCTTGGGGCCCAGCAGAAGCAGCCAGGGCACACTGCCCTTGAGGCTGTGCCAGCGCCACTGGTGCCCAAGCGTGATTATCTTTGGGAAAGGACCACAGCGCCCCATAAAGCCTCTTCTGGTGTGAGGGTTTCCGGCTTCACACAGCTCCGAGCACCGTCATCGCGCGAAGTGTTGCTCCACACCACCATTATGGAGCATGTAATTTAATGTTGCCGTGTGCCAGGCCACTGTTGGAGGCGCTTTGCCTGTTGTACCTGCCCCTTATCCTCACCGAGGCCGCGTGAGTTGGCACAATTACTCCTTTGTGCATCTGAGGAGATAGAGGCGAAAGTGCTTAAGTGACCCCTGCGGAGTCCCAGAGCCACGAAGTGGCTGGGTCTGGATGCAGAGCGGGTCTGAGCAAAGCCTGGCTGAAATTGGCTTTTCTGCATTTGGATTTGTCATTTACATATTTGTATAATTTTCCTGTTGCTCTCTTTTAGTCAAGTTATTTCTGAAAATGTCAAAAAATTTCTGTGACAGAAAGTAACAAAACAACCCTCAAAATAGAGAGCTGGGCGCTCTGGGAGTGGGGAAGAAGCCTGCAAGGAGCGAAGGCTTGGCTGGCACTGCGCACAAGCAGTGTGGATGGACCTGCTATGACCGGAAGTGTGGGTGGGCTGTGGCAGTGCTGGGGGGGGGGCCAGCAGGGCACAGACCCCAGGACAGGGACTCTATCTTCAGCTGCCCTCCTCTCCCGCAGCGGCAGAGGCAGACATCCATTTGCTCTGAGAGCCGGGTGAGGGTCGGGTGTGAGCAGCCCGTGCCCACTTCCAAGCCCGGAAACCCCAGCCGTCCTCCTGCGGGGCCGCGTCTCAGGACTCGGGCAGATGGCCAGGAGCACCTGCCTTGCCGGACCTTCTGGTGCAGTCAGGGCTCTCAGCTGGAGCCAAGGACTAAGGACCGGGCTCGGGCTGTGTGTGCGGGCCAGGCCCGGCTGGCAGCAGGGCCTCCGCCGTGCTCAGGCCCGTCCTCCCCTTTCTGCCCACTTGCTCTCCCTGCCCACCGCAGAGGCAGCTCGCCAACTACAACTTCGACTTCCGGAGCTGGCCTGTGGACTTCCACTGGGAGGAGCCCAGCAGCCGGTGAGACCCAGCCCCCGGGCTGTGGGGCAGATCCCTGTGCCCAGGGCACTGACCCCTGACCTGCCCCTTGCCTCCTAGGAAGGAGTCCCGGGGGGGCCCTTCCCGCCGTGGTGTGGCCCTGCTTCGCCCCGAGCCCCTGCACCGGGGAACAGCGGACACTTTCCTCAACCGTGTGAAGAAACTGCCCTGTCAGATTACCAGGTGGGAAGTGGCAGCAGCCGGGTGCAGGGGACAGGCGAGGGCACTAGGGCTGCATGCTCCATTGTAAAGCTGTCACTCTCTGGCCAGTGCCACGGGGTCCTGTGTACCTTTTATTCACACTTACGTGTGAGGCAGAGCTCATGGCCCACAGTCTCACAGGTCACGGATAAAGAAGTGGTAATAACGCAGCTCCATCACACAAGCCCTTCAGCGAGGCTGAGCAGGGCTGCGGGTGGGTGGAGAGGAGCTCGGCTGGCATCCGCCCTCCACTCCTTTGCTCCTTGGTTCTCCCACTGGGTCCAGCCCACTATGCTTCTCTCTGCCTCCTCGGATGTGGAGGAGATTCTTAGGGAGGTACTTGGAAGGGTTCCCACCTTGCCTGAGGGCCTGGGGCACAGTGAAGTCCAATAAACCCCAGTCACGGTAGGCAGATGTCGGAAGGTGTCCGCTCTGGTGCGTGCGGAACAGACGCTGCGGGAACTGTCTGTGGCCGTGAGAGGTGGGCGGCAGGTCCCGGCTGCCGAGCACTCTGAGAGGACAGCCAGGTTGGAGGTTCTGGAGGGGTGCTGCGGGGTTGTATAATACTCTGGGGACAGATTCCTGCAGGGTTAACTGGAAGGGGTTAGTGGTCGTTTTAAGGAACATGGCTACGTTTTATCTGTTTCGTACATTCAGGAAGTAGGGTGACCCAGCTGTGCCCTCGTCCCTGCACTGGGCATCACGCACTCCTAGCTGACGACCAAGCCCTACTCTGTGCAGTGCCCAGGCACGGCCTGTGTGGCCAGACACTGGGCATCTCACATGGGATGAGACCTCTGCCTCTTGCCCCAGCGGAGCTTTTGATCTGGTTTGTTTCGGATTATGGATCTTGACCCATTAGTGAATCTTGAAGTTATTTTTGTGTTAAAAGAATTATTTTAATTTTATTATTATTATTATTTTGTATTTTAGGGGAGGGCCTACAGAGTGTTCAGGGTCTCACTACCAGATCAGACTCATAGTGATCCGCCTGTGCTCATCCTCCCAAGAGCTGGGATTACAGGCATGCGCCACCACGCCCAATCTCAGTTGCCGTCTCAGCGTGCCCGGGTAGTGGGGCCAGCACGGCAGGCCTGGAGATTGAACCCCTGGCCCCTGCGCCTGCTTGCAGGCACTTTAATCTGCTGAACTATTAGGCCGGCCCTAAAAGAATTATTTTTAAAAATATTATTTATTTAGAGACTGTGGGCTTGCCAGGAATTGAACCCAAGGCCTCACACATGCTGGGGGACTGCTTTACCACAGAGCTACCTCCCCAGGCCTGGCTGGGGGCTTTTAGTACATGGTGTGTTTGTACTGACAAACTCATGCCTGGAAATAACTTTGCTTTTCCTTATTGTACACGAGAAGTACTATTTTGTAAGACTCTTAGAGTCGTATGTGGACAGTCCCCAGATGGCTGTGGTACATGCTTTGAATTTTGTGAGATTTGGCCTTTTTGAGACTGGGTCTCAGTATGTAGTCCCGCCAGCCTTGAGCCCTTGTGTGGCTGTGGCAGCCTCGTTCAGGCTGTCCCTGCCTCCGTCTCCTGGTCCTGGGAACATAGGCTGGGATGCCGCGCCTTGATGGGGTTCTGCTTTATTTTGTTTTGGTGGGTTTTGTGTTTTACCTTGTAAGCAACAGCAGCTTTATTCCCCATAGTTCTGGAGACTACAGAGCCCCTGATCGAGGCACCCGCGTGTGTGGTGTCTGAGGAAGTGTCACTGCCTGGGTCGCCGGAGGCATCTTCTTGCTGTGTCTTCACAGCTCTCCGAAGCCAATTTAGTTGAACTTTAACGTACTCGTTTTTTGAGACAGGGTCTTGCTAAGTAGTGGAGGCTGGTCTGAAACTCGCTGGCCTCTAACTTGTGGTCCCCCCGCCCCAGCCTGCTCAGTAGTGGAGTTACAGATGTGTGCCCCACGCACCTGGCACGTCTGTCACGAGGATATTAGGCTAGTCACCTCCCAGAGCCCCCACATGCTCAGATGCCACCATCACACTGGTGACTGGGTGGCCATAGGAGCTTTGGGGCAATGTAGTAGCTTTTTTTTTAAATATTTATTTATTTATTTATTTATTTATTTATTTTTGTGTGTGTGTGTGTGTGTGTGTGTGGCCAGCTCAGCCCACCAGGGGGCGGACTGGCTGTCATGTGGTGCTGGGGGATTGAACCGTGGTCCCTGTGCTTTGCTAAGCTTGTTCTAAGTAGGTGCTTTAGACCACTGAGCCATCTCACCAGCCCACAATGTAGTCTCTTGATTTTTTTTTTTTTTTCCTCAGAACTGGGGATTGAACTCAGGCCCTTGCGCTTGCCAGGGAAGCGCTTATTCCACTGAAACAGCTCCCCGGCCCTGTTGTTTTTTGTTTGTTTGTTTGTTTTTGTTTTTTGAGTCTCTTGATTTTTTGAGATGCGCCATCTACCATCTGGGCTCCCAGCCCCAGGACACTGTCGTCTATGCCTGGTCCATTGGCGGCTTCACTGGTAGCAGCCCCCCACCCTGCAGCTGTGTTGCCGACGCTGGGCCCGAGGTCCTGACCTCAGGTGGCCCTCCTGCCTCACCTGCCAGGTAGCTGGGCCCAGAGGCCTGCACCATGCCAGCCACACTACTATTTGGATTGTTTTAGGGCTAGTCCTGGAGAGCAGATCTAAGGGCGGCCTGCCACTGAGCTGCATCCCTGGCCTACTTCTTTTTCTTTCCTTCATTCTTCTTTTTCTTTTTTTTTTATATTGGGAATCAAACTCAGGACCTTGCATTTTCCAGGCAGGCACTGTGCCTCTGAGCTACACCCCTGGGTCTCTTATTTACTTATATATTGTGTGTTCATATATTGAATTGAGGACCTTGGCTTGCGAGGCAAGCACTGTGCTGCTGAGTTACCTCCTCAGCCCTATTTCACTAAGTCTTAAAGCAGATGGAAGCTAGGAAGATATGGGTGGAGCAGACCCAGAATTCATAGCCTCTAGACCCTTCTGGGCTGCAGAAGGACACTGGGCCGTGTCGGGGATGGGTGCTCATGATACTGTGTCCCCACAGCTACCTGGTGGCGCACACGCTGGGCCGCCGCATGCTGTACCCTGGCTCTGTGTACCTGCTCCAGAAGGCCCTCATGCCAGTGCTGCTGCAGGGCCAGGCCCGGCTGGTGGAGGAGGTGAGCACCGCTCCGTCCCTCCCTGCTGGCCTTCTCCCCAGGATGGGCCTCCGGCCTCTCACAGCTGGGCTGCCCTCCTCCCGGGATGGGCCTCCGGCCTCTCACAGCTGGGCTGCCCCCCTTCTCCCCTCCTCAGTGTAACGGGCGACGAGCAAAGCTGCTGGCCTGTGACGGCAATGAGATCGACACCATGTTTGTGGACCGGCGGGGGACAGCCGAGCCCCAAGGACAGAAGCTGGTAAGAGGGTTCAGGGAGCCCAGAGACAGAGTATGGGGAGGCTCGCAGGGTTCTGGGACCCCGATTTTTTTGTTTTTTGTACTGGGGATCAAACTCAGGATCTTGCACTTGCCAGGCAGGTGCCTATGCTGCTGAGCTGTCCCCCAGCTGGGACCCCAATCTTATAACATCTAGTGTGTGGAACAGTCGCAGGGAGTAATCCCGTCGCCTAGCCCCAGCCCAAGACCTTTTGTGTAGGAAAACTCATACAGGAAAATAGATGACCAGGGCTGGAAGATAGCTTGGCGGTCTAAGCACCTGCCTAGCGAGCATAAAAGTCCGGAGTTTGATCACTGGTACTGCTCGTTGTGCCAGCCCTGGAACCCTGGGTGTGCTGTGCTGGCCTTGAAACCCGGTGTAGTGATGCAGGCCTATAATTCCAGTGCTGGGGAGGCTGAGACAGGAGGATCACTACAAGCCTGAGCTGTATAGCAAGATCCTATTTGAACAACAAAAAGAAAATAGATGACAAAGTAGGAGTTGACATGCAAGAACCAAAAAATCATAATCGTAACAGCCCCGAGACAGCGTGCACCATGTACCCGAGCCCTGGGGCGTCTTCCTCCAGGACCTGGGTGCTAGGCACCCGCAGTCGCTTTGCCTCTGTCTGTGGGCCTTGGGATTATGTTTCTGTCCTTGGAGGGAAGAGATCTGCCCTAGACTCTGCCCTGCTGGGCTCTTCTCGGGATGCCCTCCCTGCCTGGGCGACTTCCCCCCAAGCCCTTCTCCTGCCTCCTCCAAAGGTGATCTGCTGTGAGGGGAACGCGGGCTTCTACGAGGTGGGCTGCGTCTCCACACCCCTGGAAGGTAGGCCCGTGCCGGCCCTCAGTCCGTTCCTCCTTCCCTGCCTCACCATGCTCCCATCCTGTCCCACCCCCACGCATAGCCACACCCCCTCGCTGGCTCCCTGACCCAGCACAGCTGCAGCTGTGTCCCTGGGCTCGAGGGCCTTTCTGCCATCCTGTCCCCAAGGACAGAGAGAGATCTGGGCCACCAGGTCTCAGTCCCTTTTCTCCTGTGTGACAGCTGGCTACTCTGTCCTGGGCTGGAACCATCCTGGCTTCGCAGGAAGCACAGTGAGACCCTCCCTGGCATCCCTTTTCCTTTCCTGTCTATCTCCCTCCGGTCAGCTGCTGGGTGGGGGGAATGGGGTGCATATCTTGGGGGACCTCCACCCCTGTAACCTGGGGGCCAAGGGACATGCTGCAGGGGCGGCTGGGGAAAGGTTGGGGCTCTGGACACTGGCCTGGAGAGCACCCCATCTCCTGCCCATGTTAGCATGCTGCTGCTGATGGGAGCTGTTGTGGTGACCAGAGCCACCCTCCTCCCACAGGGGGTGCCGTTCCCACAGAACGAGGCCAACGCCATGGACGTGGTGGTCCAGTTCGCCATCCACCGCCTGGGCTTCCAACCCCAGGACATCGTCGTCTACGCCTGGTCCATTGGCGGCTTCACTGGTACCAGCCCCCCACCCTGTGCAGACACACCTCTGCCCCTTCCCAGGAGGGGGGACCCACGTTTCCCCGGGCAGGAGTGGAGTAGCGGCTGAGGGAGGAGGCTCCTTCCTGTGTGCCTGGTCGGTGAAGGAAGGGGACTAGGGAGAACAGGAAGGGAAGTCCTCCTGCCTCTGTCTCCCCTGCACTTATGCCATCTCCACGTACCTGGCTGAGAAGCAGGGTCGAGGAGTTGCAGGGAGGAAGGGGTGGGGGTGGGCAGGGGCCCCTCAGTTCTGGTCCTCTTGTCCTGGTACCAGCCACGTGGGCAGCCATGTGCTACCCGGACATCAGTGCCGTGGTCCTGGATGCCTCCTTCGATGACCTGGTGCCCTTGGCCTTGAAGGTCATGCCTGACAGCTGGAGTGAGTGCAGCCCCGCCCCCCGGGGGGAGGGGCACCCCTGTCTGGTGAGGTGAGTAGTGGGGACCTCGCCTTCACCCCTGTTGCCCTCCAGGGGCCCTGGTGACCAGGACAGTGAGGCAGCATCTCAACCTGAACAATGCAGAGCAGCTGTGCAGGTGAGGGCCCGCTGCTCCCGAGTCTGCACTAAAGAAAGCTGGGCTGCCCACCCCAGTGCCCCCGTGCCCACACCGCAGCCCCTTCCGGCCTGGGCCTCTTGCCACCTGGCCAGCCGTGTGTCTGCCGGGCACTGCAGGGCCTCTCCTCAGCACCCAGAGCAGTGGTCCTCAGATGTGCTGGGTGGGCGCTGCTGTAGGTCGGGGGTAGGAATGCTTGTTGGGATAGGGCGGGCCACTTGCTGCTTGTCACCGGTGTCCCTCTGAGCTCTCCCCACTGTGCCCCCAGGTACCAGGGCCCGGTGCTGCTGATCCGGAGGACCAAGGACGAGATTATCACCACCACGTGAGTGGGCGCCTGGGTCGGGGCTGCCCCCGCCACCTCCACCCTCACCACTCCAGAGTAACCTTGTCATCCCCAGGGTTCCGGAGGACATCATGTCCAACCGAGGCAATGACCTCCTGCTGAAGCTCCTGCAGTTCCGGTGAGCGGCCCAGCCCCAGGAGGGCGCGGGGAGCTTCCACTGCAGGTGGCCATGCTCAGCCCCGACTGCCGCTCGCTCCTCCATAGGTACCCCCGAGTGATGGCCGAGGACGGCCTCCGTGTGGTGAGGCAGTGGCTGGAAGCCTCCTCGCAGTTGGAGGAAGGTGAGTGGCAGGAGGCCAGGCCGTGGGGGGCAGGCTGGGGGGGCAGCTCCTGACAGCATCTCTCCTGTGCAGCCTCTGTGTACAGCCGCTGGGAGGTGGAGGAGGACTGGTGCCTGTCGGTGCTGCGTTCCTACCAGGCCGAGCACGGCCCCGACTTCCCCTGGAGCGTGGGTAGGAGTCCTGGGCAGGGGGGCGGGCGGAGGAGCCAGGCTGGCCGCTGAGCATCTCCTCTCTGCAGGGGAGGACATGGAGGCAGAGGGCCGCCAGCAGCTGGCTTTGTTCCTGGTGAGCTGGGGGCTTGGGGCAGGCCTTGGGGACGGGAAGCCGCGTGTGCCACGGCTGGGTGGTGGCCCCACAGAACGCCGCCCCACCTGCTCCTCCCTCTTCTCAGGCTCGGAAGCACTTGCACAACTTTGAGGCCACACACTGCACCCCTCTCCCAGCACAGCACTTCCAGATGCCCTGGCACCTCTAGGCACTGCTGGGACTGGTCTGGAAGCAGAGGCGGTCTGTGGCCTGCGTGCCGCTGTGGATGGCCCGTGGCTGGGGCCGTCCTCCCCACGCGCTCCGTGCACGCTCCCTTGCCACGCCCTGCATTAGGTGAATGCGTTGTTCCTAGTAATTAATAAAAAGTATTTTTTCTACTGTCTGCCTAACTGTCCTCCCAAGGGCCCAGGGACCAAGGGGCTGGCAGCGAGGAGTGCGGGGCTGGGGTGGGGGGACAACTCCAGGCTGCCAGCCCGTCCCTCTCAGCCCTGTGCCCCCACCTCGGTCCTTCCTGTGCTCCCAAGCCTGAGCTCTCCCTCCTTGCTGTTTGCCCAAGTGCCCTTCAGGATCCGATTTCACCTACTCGGCTCTATTGATTTCCGAGGCCAACCTGCAGCACCCCACCCCCCACCCCTGGCCAGGCCTTGTTCAGCTCTGGCTGAGCCTAGATGGGGCGCCGCCCCTGCGTCTTGTGCTGCTCACCCTGGGCAGCCTTGCCAGACAGCCACCAAATCTCACACCCTCAGCATTTAACAAACAGGGTTGCCTGGGCCAAACTCCTGTGCACCCAGAGGCACCTCCGCTGCGACAGCTCTGTGGGAAGAAAACTCTTGGGCTGAGCCTGAGGAAGTCGACTTCTATAACTTTTAACTCTTGCACCTTGTGGACAGCACGAGTCCACATCCCATCCCTCGGTTTGTTGCTGGGCCATTTGCTTTTCCAGATGAAATTTCCCCAAGCTTACCTCCCAAGGAGCAAGGCCCTTTGTACAGATGCTTAGCAGGGATGGTAACACGTAATCCCAGCACTGGAGGCTGAGGCAGGAGGGTTGCTTTGAGTTCAAGGTCAGCTGATTTACACAGCAAGACCTGGTTTCAAAACAGCAATAAAAATGCTTAACAAGAGTAACAATGTTGGGCTGGCCAAATAGCTCAGTGGATTAAAGCGCCTGCAAGCAGGCCCGGGGCCCAGGGTTCCATCCTCTGGCCTGCTATGCTGGCCCTGCCCCTGGGTACGGTGGTGCGTGCCTGTAATCCCAGCTCTTGGGAGGCTATAAACAGGAGGATCACTACAACTAGTACTGAGACCCTGGACACCGTGTAGACCCTTCCCTAAAATACAAAAGAAAACAATGACAATGTTGTGGCACCTTGGAGTCTGGCTGATTTCTGTCTGCCGGAGCCCAGCCAGTCCCTGGCTTCTGCCTTATTTCTCAGTATTCCCTTAAGGACAGCATGCAGTGCGGATGGTGAGCCAGTCAGAGCTGAGTGCCCAAACTACAACCCCGAACCCCTTTGTTTTTGCAAATATCAACACTACAATTAAACCTGAATACACAGGCTTTAGTTTAAAAAAAAGTAATTCAGACATTAACATCTTTTGTCCGAGAAGAAAATAAACACTCCATAGGTTCTCCACCAGTGGTATAGGGAATCCCACAGGAAGGGGAATCAGACCAACCACTTGATGTGATCACTGAAATTTGGGATCAGAAGGACATGCCCCTCGATCTAGAATGCCCCGCCCTTAGCAAGCGGCGGCTGGGAGGCGGCTGGGAGCGGATGCTGGCCTTGTCTGTGCTAGCTCGGGGAGCCCACAGCGCGGGGAGTGTGCAGTGCGGGGGTCGGCTGCGTGGTTCCGAGCCTTAGCCTCCCGGTAGTGCGGCAGCTCCTCTTTTGGAGACCACCTTTGTTCAGCCAAAGGAACCTCCTCAAATGCAAACATGGGGCACTCACTCTGAGACAAGAACCCCTTTCCTGGCCATGGCCATTAGGGACGCCCCTTGGACTTGGGAAGTGGGTGGGACTGAGTGGCCTGAAGGGGCCTCAGTTTACTTCTGTGTCTCCCACTGATGGCACGCAGCAGCCACACGTGGCCTCAGGACCAGCAGAGACCAGCATGCTGTCCTCCCCTTCAGAGCAGTGGTCCAGGACGTCCCCTGCAGTGGACGCCCCACAACTGTGTGGGCTGAACACCCAGGCCCCTGGGCACACAAGGCGAGAGGAAAGACTGGGAGAAAGGGATTCACCCTATCCCTCCTATCCCAGGCACCCAGGCTAACAGGGTGGGGTGCGTATCCCAAGGCCTGTGTGTGTGTGCCGAGCGGCTATCACCAGTGAGGGCTCCTGAGGACGGTGGCCCAGGCCTTGGGGATGGCGGGAAGCTCCATTCCCAGCCTTTTTTTTCTTTTTTAGTAGTGTCTTGCTAAATTGCTCAGTTGCCCAGGGTGGACCTGAATTTGCAATCCTCCTGCTTCAGCCTCCCAGAGTACTGGGATTACAGACGTGTGCCACCCTAGGGAACCCAGCCGTTCATTCGCATTCCCTCTCCAGACTGCCCTGCAGCAGAACTTGGGCCAGCCTCTCAGTTTCCCACGTTCCAGTACCTCAAATTTGGGGGCCTTCCGGCCTCAGGCTCTGCCTTAGTTTCATAACTGGGATGGGGGGGACATGCTGTCACCACAGCGACTATGGCAATGGCTCCAACCCAGAAAACCTCCAACCAAACTGTCTCCATGGAAACTCACTAGCCAGCACAGCCTGGCCCTGCCCTGAACAGGGGAGGAGCTTAGAAAGAGGGCGGGGCTAAGGAGGAAGGCCACGCCCCTCCCGTCTTCCGGCCGCGTAGCCCACGTGCGCCCGCCCGCAGCGCCTCTCAGGGCGTCCCCGCGACGGGCGCTGCTTCTCCTCTGCCGTGAGGTTCGAGCGGGGCCTCCCAGGCGGTCGCCGTGAGAGCCTCAGTCCTCACGTTTTGTCAGACGCTCGGGGCGCCGCGGGGCACAGCCTCCACGGAGAGCGGAGCGGACGCGGCGCCGCCTTCAGGGCAGCCGGATCCCACGCGCGGTCGGGTCGTGCGCGCCGCGCTCCGGGGCGCGGCGCGG